AGGTCCTGCGGAAAGCCGTTCGCGGCGGCGCGTTTCGACCCGTCTCGTTGGAACAATTATCAGTAGGGTCGTTTCATGCTCGTTTCTCGATCACACATAGACACACACACACACACACATACACATGTACAAATATACGTTCACACGCAGCACACGTATATAAACACATGTATACACCAGACTATACATACACATGAACACTATTATAATTATCCAAAAATAACTTGTACTATGTAACTATTACTATTTTTATGAATTTTTGTACATTTTTCTAATTATTTTGTATAATAATCGTTAGCGGAAAGAGAGAATGGCAGAGTTTGGCACCCACCTCCCCAAAAAAGTGTTCAAAACGGAGAAAAGGAGCTACATCGACGACGAAAAAAAGAAACGTAGAAAAATGAAAAAAAAATGACATTTCGGTGCGAGTGTCACGCGCGCATGTGTGTGTGTGTGTACGCGCGAGAGAGAGAGAGAGAGAGAGAGAGAGAGAGAGCGTGTACGCGTGCTTGTGAACATGTATGTGTGAGAGAGAAAGAGAAAAAGATGAGAGAAACGCGAAAAAGGATGAGAAAGAGAATGCGAGAGAGGAAAGACGACGAGGAACGCAACGCGGATAACAGGAAAAGTACGCGGGAGAGCATACAGCGTGCATGCGTGAAAATTTTGTGAAAGTAGCGAAAAAGGAAAGTATGAGAAACGGAGAGAGAGAGAGAGAGAGAGAGAGAGAGAGAGAGAGAGAGAGAGAGAGAGAAAGAGTAGGAAGAAAAAGAAATGCCGCGACTGTCGACAATGTAGTCCACCGTTTGTCTGTATAATCTTGTCTTAATCTGTCTCCTTGTCTGTCTGTCGGTTTGCCTGTCTGTCTGTCCGTGCTGTGTTTTAGCAGGGGAGAAGAATTCACTAAAAATCCTAAGGACGTAGCGTTATACTTTTATCTCTGGATACGATGCGACGACGACGACGACGATTACGATTACAACTATTACGACGACGACGACAACGACAACGACAATGACGAGGACGACGAGGACGATGATCATAAAATAATTTTTATGTTTTGTATTAAAAGGAGAAAACGACGAAACTTCTTCTCGACAAACCCGCTAAAGGTATATATATATATATATATATATATATATATATACATAAATATATATCGTAGGAAAGAAAGGAAGAGAGAGAGAAAATGAGAGAGAGAGAGAGAGAGAGAGAGAGAGAGAGAGAGAGAGGGAGAGAGAGAGAGAGAGAGAGAGAGAGAAGGAAAGAAAAAGAAAGAGATACCGACCGAAAAGGAAGAGAGAGAGAGAGAGAGAGAGAGAGAGAGAGAGAGAGAGAGAGAGAGAGAGAGAAGGAAAGAGAAAGGGAGTGTGCGAGGGTGCAAAAGTAGTGTCGAGGAAGTATAGTAAAACGACTAAATGATGTTCAAAACGACGATAAAACAAAAGGAAAAGGAAAAATGCGGCATAGAAACGAAAAGGACTTTTAATTCCGCGGTTCTCGTGCGCCGCGTAAGGTCGAATGTGTGAAAAAAAAAATCTACTTCGTATTTGACGACGTGTTTGTTATAATTATAAGAATCACCTTTTCTTTTTTTCTCGAAATGAAATGCTATGAAATAGATCAATTCTTTCATGGAACGTGCGAGTCATTTTGCTTTCGTCCGTTATCCTCTCGACGCGAGTGTCTTTAACGCATCAGGTATTGCACGTGCGATCATATAGTATCGTTCTACGATATCTGAAAAGTAGATCGTAGACGCGCGACGTGAACGTTCAAGTTACACACCGAAAGAATGCCGATTCAGTCGTAAAAAAAACGAGGAGATTCTCTCTCCCAAATAACCCATACAGCACAAAAATTGCTGCAACGTTGCTGCAATATTGCGACGTTGTTGCAACGTTACAGCAATGTTGCTGCAACTTTCTGTGCTGTATGGGCATTCTCAGAGCGATCTAACACAGCATTAATGCCTTGATGCGTTAACTCCGCGGAAATCCCTTGTCAACGAAACATCTCGGAGCAAGAGCGAGGTAAATCGCAGCTCGTGAGACATCTCGCTCGCTGCAGCTGACAGCTCGTCAAGCTTATCGCGATATCGCGATATTGCGAATGCTTCAAAGAGCTCGGTAACTCGTAAATCTGACGCAACGTACCGTTCTCCCACCGGGATTATGACACATCGGGAGCGCAGGAACTGTCTCTTACGCTTCTTACGCAAGGCTGCCCACGAATACGCAAATTTCTCTGCCAAATGAAACAATTCAACGAGACTTATCACGTATCAATTGCACGCGCGATGGAACACGACGTAGTATTTCAAACTGGAGCTGGAGATTCGAAATGACGAATAGTGGCGCCCTCTGCGGCGCCGAGTCGAGCAGTAGGAGATCTGCGGTACCGATCGTGAAAAGTGTCGCTGGACCCCTGGAGAAGGTAAGAGCTCTCCTGATGAAACGTCGGAGAATCCTCGCAGCGAACGTCCTACATTTAAACGCTGATGGACATTCGTTGACGCGGTACGGAGCATCGCCGTGGGAGGATGCCGGCGGTGCCATTCGATAAGGGAGCGAGACGCGCCGGACGGGCGGTGTTCCGCGAAGCGTGACAGGTTGACACGACGCGACGCGACGCGCACAGTGGCGAGCGGCCGCCGACGACGGATCGTGATGAGTCTGACAGCGGACACGATCAACGCTGCGTTCGTCGAGTAACGCGCCTTCGATCGACGCGGGATTGCTCGCGAGTATAAAAAAGAACGCGATAAGACGTCGCGAAAGGAGAACGATCGATTGACAGCTAGAGAGAGAGAGAGAGAGAGAGAGAGAGAAAGAGAGACAGAGAGTTAGGATGCAACCGAGAGGAGTTTTGTAATATAACGCACTTTGCCCAAGTATTCGCGTGCACTTCTTAGTATGGCAGAATGGTTGGACGCAAATTGCTGCCGTTGCTGATACTCTTCCTGGCAGGTAAGTACGTGATGAAAAGCGCGTCGTTAATTAACGTGACAACGAGTGAGTGAGTGAGTGGGAAAGAGTGCGGGGAGGAGAGAGAGAAAGAGAGAGAGAGAGAGAGAGAGAGAGAGGATGGATGGGTAAGATGTACGTATATATACATGAAATGTGTCCACCGATGAACAATGCGTGTTCTATATCCGTCAGCGATCATGCAATTTACTAGCGGCTATAGTACGTGCTTTCGGCGATCGTTAAAATTCAGGGTCGAGTTATGTAAAGAGCGATTACATCGTCGCTCTCTTGGTTGCATTTTTCCCCTTGCTACCGTCACCTGCGTCATCAGGAGGTGACTGCGTCGTCACGGGTCGCGCGATAATGAGTATTGTGTAGCGCGTCTAGCTGAAACTGGTTTTCCTTGGACTCACGATCATTCTCGATCGTCGTCGGTTGTCCCGCTACTTGGCGTGTTCAGCGATAATCGCTCCTAAGAGACGTAATAAATTTGTTTGTCGAATCGCCCACCTTCATCCTCCACGTCGGTGACACGCGATTCGCGAACTTAGCCGCTCGTTGATCACGCGGATTCACCAGCTCGTTTGCTCCGTGCGTGCTTATAGTCGCGCAAACGAGAACGTCAACGGCCTTGCGTGCTAACGTATTGTCTGTTTTGCAGGATGGCAGGAAGCAGTGGCCGTGGTACCGGTCCGGTACGTCGCCGTGGACGTGGGTAAAGGCCTGAAGCTAGCCTGCGCCGAGGAGAGTGCTCTTCTTGTGCATTCTGATGAGTCGGTAGGAGTGATGTGGATAAGAGAGGGGCGATTTGACGGACAGATCGAGCGGCTGAAAGTGGAGCCAAACGGCATGCTGGAGCTGTTGAACGTCAGTGCAGACGATGCCGGCAATTACTCGTGCACTTTGGATGACGATCACGACGCTGTGAAAACTAGGATCAACGTGGAAGTTAGGAGTACGTTGCAATTTATTGTGCAGAATGATTCGTCATCGTATGCGACAAGTAGTAGTTGTCTTATATTTATCTAGATGTTGTATCACTAGTTTTTTATCTATATGTTTATTATCTATGTATATTGCATTTGTCTGCAGCGCCTCCTCCAGCCTTGCACAATGTGTGGGTCAAGCCATCCACGATTTTGGCCAACATTCTCTGGGAAGTGGCTGGTACCGGCGGATATCCTATCATAGATTTCACTGCCGAATATCGTCTGAAACCAACTGCGGGCGAGGAACCGGAAGAGTGGAAGCCTATTGTTCCAACGCACATTCCTCCGAATTCCGTGAGTATCCGCGGTCTGTCAAAGTGCAAGCGGAAATCGGGGGTGGAGAACGCAACGTGGTATAACACGAGGCGTTGCACCATCTCTAATCAATAAAAACTGACCCGACCGAAGCTGATGATCGTTTAATCGTTTTAAAGAGGCAAATAGATGTGTATCACTTGGTGCCAAATACGACGTACTCATTCCGAGTATGGGCAACCAATCAGTTGGGAAGAGGCGAGATCGTGGAGGTGGACGGTCACACGCATCACAGCGTGGAGGAATTGGGTATTTGATGTTACGATTGCTAATAAATTCTAATTGCATCACGACTCTGTAAATATAGACTTCTGTCGCTGGGATCCGCAAAGCGAAAGCTCGCAGCTCTATCTATCTATCTATCTATCTATCTATCTATCTATCTATCTATCGGCGAGATATCGCGAAACTATGGTTCCGTAATTCACCGCCAGTACTGGCAACGCTGTAAAAGTCGTTCCAAAACTCACTAGCACATGTAACACACTGCGAAAGAGCAATGACGTCATAAATCTTGTCATCATTTCCCGCTTTGACTGATGTGGCTAAAGACCTGTAGATATATGATGGTTGTAAGCAACATGTCAAAGAATCAAACAGTAACTTTGATTGATGTCAAAACTAATATTTTCTATGAAATAATAACATCAGAAAAATATGCGGAGAAAGTATTAAGAGGTAAGAAATTAGGTGCAGCCATAACGCAAAGAGCAAATGATACTTGTTTTTCCACAGGAATTGTACATCCGCCTGATGATGAACCCTCTTCTCTTTAGCATTGGCTTTGCTAATTCCGCTATGAAATAAAATATATTTCGATGTAATCTAAAAATATAATATTCTTTTTAGGTATATATTGTAGGTATCGTACATACTATATATGCATACAAAAAATTAAAGAAAAATTATTGATGTACCGAAAATGATTTTTAAATTCAATATCCGTATATAGAGACATCTTCTACGTATCTTTTGGTTTGTTTTCTTTGCCTGCACTGCTGAACTAATACAATAAGTTAGAGTGAGACAACTATAATTCTTCTCACTCTAACTTATTGCACCAATTCAGTAGTACGGCTAAAAAGAACAGATCTTTTTACAAGTGGCACACTATTTGCTGTGTATTCTTTTAATATTGTCAGGATTTCTTCTATTTCTATTCTAGTATCGCTATCAGATTCGCTAGATTCACTTAAATCAACAATGATGCGTAGAACATGAGTAATCACTGCGCTTTAATCTGACGATATTATTCCATATATATATAATCGACATCATCGTCATGATGTGTGACGTCAACTATTGCAATACTCAAAACCCCGTTCCGTTTTCTCTGTTTTACAGTGCACTGACAGCACATTCGTGAAAACGGAACGCTTGTATCGGTGCACTGTGATGACGTCGCACGCACATTTGCAGTGCTGGCAGTGAATTACGGAACACAACCTATATCGTCGAATATTGCGTCTTATATTTTGAAAGAAGTAACCGATCAGTCGACGACATAGATCCGCAGCATTCTGTGTACAATGTATCTTTTGAGAGAAACCATAGGACACGTTTGTCACAAATGTTCCTTTTGTTGTACTGCATCGCGACTAACGATCTATCTTATGGGACGTAACTAATTTTCAGAACTCGCTCGACACCTTTTAGCTGGCGTAGAGAATTTCGATACGCGTGTCTGGGTGGCAGCCGTAGGTATTGTCATGGGCACACTTATGATTCTCGGTTTAGGTACTTGTTACCTGCTGTATCGCGAGTGGAAAATACCCTGTAAGCATCCTCTCTGGTAACCTTACGTAAGAGCTTCCGCTTCTACTCTGTCTCTTTACTGCTGCTACTACTACTACTTCTTTCCGCTGGTGACCGTATACTATTTATATATATATATATATATAATGTGTGTGTGTGTATATATATACACACACATTTTATATATATATATATATATATAACATATTCACGTGGTAATGTCTAACAAGCACGATATCCACAGAGAGAATCTCGCTCTCCTTTTTTATATATTAGAAACCTTCGCGACGCAAGTTAGTTAAGGAACACCTCACCAGACGCATCATAATTGAAACTTGCGCAGAAGGAACGTTATTAGCATCATTATTAGCATACGATTAGCATCCGGCTAGCTGAACTTATCTATGGCCCTGATCTCTAGCTTTCTCTTGCGACAGCCATGTTCTTTCAAATTTTAATAATATATCCTCCGACGAAATAGATATCTAATTATTTCTCTTTATCTCACACATACACTGATATTTTTCTGTACTCATCTGCACCTCTCGCAAACTTTAAATCCAGCATTCATAACGACGGGTTCAACTTAACATTCAACAGAGACGTTTGTCCGTTGTATCCTTAATTCATTTTTCTCATCGATTACAATACTCTTTTCAAACCTGCCGCACCGAACACTAACAACGTGCACTCAATGAATAACCCATTAACATTTCTTATCTTGTACAAAGTATGGCACTTATTGGAATGAATATACTCGGATAAAGTTTTCTCGTCGCAATCTTGTTTGTTTCGTTACTATCTCTTCCTCTCTCTCTCTCTCTCTCTCTCTCTCTCTCTCTCTCTCTCTCTCTCTCTCTCTCTCTCTCTCTCTCTCTCTCTCTCTCTCTCTCCCTCTCCTCTCTCTCCCCCCTCTCTCCCCCTCTCCCCCCTCCTCCCTCTCTCCCCCCTCCCCCTCCCTCCCTCCCTCCCCCTCCCTCCCCCCTCCACCCCTCCCTCCCTCCCCTCTCTCTCCCCTCTTTCTCCCCCCTCTCTCTCTCCTCTCTCTCTCTCTCTCTCTCTCTCTCTCTCTCTCTCTCTCTCTCTCTCTCTCTCTCTCTCTCTCTCTCTCTCTCTCTCTCTCTCTCCTCTCTCCTCTCCCTCCCTCCCTCCCTCTCCCTCTCTCTCCTCTCCTCTCCTCCTCTCCTCCTCCTCTCTCCTCTCCTCTCCTCTCCTCTCTCTCTCTCTCTCTCCCTCTCCCTCTCCCTCTCCCTCTCCCCCTCTCTCTCCCTCCCCCTCCCCCTCTCTCTCTCCTTCTCTCTCTCTCTCTCTCTCTTTCTTTCTCTCTTTCTATCTGTTTCTGAATACAATTCCTCTATCTTATTATTCGAATTAGATGTCACTTACATTGTACGAATTAATGAGCCTGCTGAATAATCTTAGTTAGCAACAAATAGTAAGTATCACGATAGTCATAGAGCATTATGGCCTAG